TTAGGTTGTGTTAGCAGGCGATGGATAGCATCGGGTTTGACAGCAGCAGCGAGGATCGAGGCAGGGGACCTCATTAAGTTCATTTGTTTTGTGCTTAGCGCTGTGCGGATAAGTATACCGTCATTTATCTGCCCGATTTGTACAGGAGTTGATAAAACTTTCTTTGCTCTTTCTGCGCAAGCTTCATGGAATGAAGACGAGAAACACAGGAGTTCCTTTGCGTCATTTTGTCAGTAGCTGGAGAAGGGGTTGCCCAGATCGCATTTGTCCCCACTTGCTATCTGTCAACTCGGGCATAGTCCTGCTAGATAGGGCGCCATCCGCCCTATATAGTTTCGCCTGTATCAGCGGCTAGGCGGAAGTGGCTCTATTGCTGATTCAGAGGGTCAACTTATTTGTCTGTCTGTCTGGCTGGCTGAACATGTATTTTCTGAGTTTCATGTATCTCGAACAAACGAAGTTGGAAATGGAGGTGAGGAAATAAACGGAATCCTTTCGTTTGATGTCTAATCTCGTATTTTGGCCGTGCAAACTTAAAAAAACCGTATGCATCTTCTTTTGCTGTATTATGTTACCATTCTGTTCGAGTGATCGTATGTATGCGTAAAGGAATTTGACTCTGTTTGCCTAATAAAAGAACTACCGCCTATTACCTGATATTCTTGTTATATAGGCTGGTGTAGGGCGCGAGTTTGCAGTTTTTTATTGTCGTATCGTATCGTAATACACTTACGGGTTCGTTATCTCATCGCCTATACAATGTAATAAGTTAGCGCCTAAATTAGGCAAAATACAACAGCAGTCGTAACAGCTAGCGGTAGTTATTGGTCGAACTAATTTCTTAGTAACTCAGATTATCCTGCTTCGTGCTCCGCTTGCTCTTGCAGAATAGATGCTTGCGTTCTAATAATTAAAAATTATTTTATTTCTGAACTACTATGATTTTTAGGTATGCCGACCATAAAAGGTCGGAATATCTAAAAATTAACACAATTTTAATGCGATTTTGGCAAATATAGTTGTTTGCGGGACCTTGATGTTTTTGAAGAGTCGCTAGACAAACATATTATAGCCGATTAACTTAAATGCACATCTTGAAAAGTCACAACCTTCAAACATAAGCATTTTTTTTTTAGGTAACCAAACATTTTTATACAACAATGTCAATGTAAGCAAGCCAAGCGGAATAGGTTATACGTAAGGCGTACGTATCAGTTAAGCTGATTAAAAATTGATTCACGAGAGGGATATTGGCATGGATGACTAGCTAGAACGATAACACATAATTAACTAATTTCAGAATTAGAAGATCTCATTTTACAAGAGCGCTTTTGCGGTTGATTGCTATCCGTCAGATCTTCTGGTCTGAAACTATTTCAGATGCAAAATTAGTGTACGTAGGTAAGCCTAACACATTACACCGATCCCAGTATTTTGAGTTAGAAGCATGTAAACATCAACTTTAGAGTTGTACTAGCTCTGAAAATATATTTGGTAGGTTTCAGTCGATGCAGGAAACAACTTAGCGTTATCCTACAGTTGTTTATAAATCTACCAATTCGTAGCGCGATCCCGTATCGCATTTATGGATCATCAAAATCAAGGTAGAAAACGAGCTTATATTTACAAGCAAACGTCTTCAGCAAACGATACTACCCGGCCCGGCTCAGTCAATATGAATGCTTGTCCGGAATAATTTAGAAAACTTTTCGATGTTCGAAAAACTGACTTCGTTCAATGAAACGAAGAGTAACATCTGAAGAATATGACCAGTTCGACTATTTTATTTATGATGTTCCATAGAGGTGTGAACAGCTCACTGAAGTGGCACTCCCTGAATTTAACTATATATATAATTTACTCAGCAGTTGATAACTGACGTAACTGTAGGGCAAAGCTTATTAATATTCACTTGTCAAATGAAGACTTATTGGAACAGAAAGGTAATTCTTAAGTGGAACTTAAGTATGCTAACTTCGTTTCCTTAGTCGTTGTTTTATCCCAAAAATGACTTTGTTTACTATTGCAATAAATATTGTCCCTATCATTCTATATTATTGCTCTTTGCAATTGATGTTCATTGGGTAAGAACTAGAAGGTATATATATACTTAGTGTGTACTTTGATTGAGTAGTCAGTAGCGCCGGGTACCTGCGACCAGCACGTTTTTGGAATGGACGTGGTTAAGCATATGCAAATTGCTAAAATTTATACAAACATCTGTTTATACAAACAGACTTGTAACTTCTAGAAAGGAAATTTATTATTATTACATTGATTTGCAGGTTCGGTTAAAAGACAATATTCCAAAACAGAATCATATGATTTCGATTACATTCTTGATCTAATTTTCTTTATCATTCTAGTGCCCCAGCTTCCTGTTATGAGCTGCGCGTTTTAGCTGACAGGAGGACACAGTAGGCCTCATTAAGTGCTCAGTTTGTTTTATTGATAGACCCTATGACGAACACGTTAAACCATGTAGGCATATAAAGCAAAAATAAATTTATTGCAAGCCTATTATGTCGGCAAGGAAGGTGTGGTAAGGTAAGCGTAAAAAAAATTGGTAAAATAATTTCTATGCTGCTTTTCACAGCGATTTAATCTTGTTTGCATTGAAACTGATAGTAGATATGCTTGATATATATAAAAACTGCATAAATTTGTGCGTAAGTACTGGTACATTTATTGTATTTATCTTCTATCAAATAACCATATACAGAGATGTTATATACTCTAATAGTTCTTTACGGCGGGAGGCTCCTTAGGTGGCTCAAACGATTTCATACGCTGCTTCTCTCGTTCAAGCTGTAAACAATAAAATACAAAATAGATAAATCACCAATGTTCGCTTATGCATTATTCTTATATCGATACTTCTAACGATCTATGAAAAAGAGTATATATATATATATATATATATATATACACACGCACATATACGCCTATATATACATGTGTATATATATACATAAAAAATGCGAACTTACTCACTTTAAAATAAAGTGAGTATGTTCGCATTTTAGGATTTCAGAAACGGATTCAGCGGTGCAATTACAAGGTCACAGGATAGATATTTAAAAAAATGTGTACAACTTAAGCTAAGAATAAAATCATTTAGAGAAACAATAACATTGTGGATAGTATCAGTCAGGCCGAGTTTTAAACCGATAGCCTTTTTGGGTCGTGCGCAGCGTCATATTTGAGCTATAGCCAGGTTCTCCGGTGCTCCAAGGCCCAGCACCCAACCAATATTTGGAACTAATTACAACCCCATAAGTGAAGCGCCATATTATTAAAAAAAAAAAATAACTCCGAGTTTGTTGAACGCTAGAAATCATATAGCTAGCTTGCTCGCTTGCTAAAATTTGGAAAGCATCTGGCAAATGCCTTAATTTCAATTAAAAAATAAACACGTAGTACAATATGATACTAATTACTACAACCACTGCCGTCACAGACGTAGAATATTAGACTGAAGTCAAATACATACACATATATATATATATGTATATGTGTATGTATATAGATACTATATACATATATATATATATATGTATATAGTGTCTATATACATGTACAAGCGAGTTCGTTGGATTCTGAAATTGAACAACTTTTGAACTACTTGAATTAGGATGGTGCCAATGGTCCATCAGATTTTTGGGGGATTTGAGATGGCAAGCTGAATATCTATCGCGAATATTTTGTGTGTTGTGTGTGTGTGTGTGTGTGTGTGTGTGTGTGTGTGTGTGTGTGTGTGTGTGTGTGTGTGTGTGTGTGTGTGTGTGTGTGTGTGTGTGTGTGTGTGTGTGTGTGTGTGTGTGTGTGTGTGTGTGTGTGTGTGTGTGTGCTTGTCGAAGGAGCCATACTTGGATATCAGGCTCGCTTGATTGATTATGTGTGTTAGGTCCGGCAGGCCTGGTAGGAAACAGCGTCATTGACCGATTCTTCAGAGCGCGGTTGCTAGGCAACCAAAAATGGCGAAGTGATCGTACTACTGGCTTTTGGTCAACTTACGTAGTGATCACGGTAACTAGACTAACTCATACGGGGGAAAGACGAGGCGGTAGACTTACTACGGTTAGTCAAAAGACAGTGTGACTTAGCGAGCGACGATTCCGCATGATAGTGGCCATTGATTCTTTGAAAAATAACTTAACTCAAAAGACAATACGGTAATATCTAGATATTTTACTCAGTTGAATGGAGTGGCTTAATGCCGTATCATCTATCATCTTAGCATACCGCAAGATAAACTGACTAGTATATCTTTAATTAAAAATTCTCTGTTCAGATTTTGCGTTCCGAAACTGCTCAGAACTGCTCCTATCAATAAGGCTTGCATCTCCATTATATTCTTATTATCTTTATGATTATTATTAAGTGAATTATAACCAAAAATAGTAAGTCCCATTTAAGAGAACTGTAAAAGCGTTCTTGTAGCTTTGGCTTGACGTTGCCATTTACCGGCAGCCGGTCAGGTGTATGTATAGCTGGGTGGTAAGCCCTATCGTTATTCGTAAACAACGTTGAAAAATACGGCTTCTTTGTTTTCGTCTAAATGACTTAGTTCAGGCGTCAATTTAACGACGAGGCAAGATGGAGCAGATCGGTATCTAACTGGGCTGGACTCTTATAATTTCTTAGCCGGTGTCCAGCTTTGGGCCCCTGTTGTATTTAGACCATGGGTCAGCTATAAATATAAAGAAGAAGCGCCTGAACCAATGGACGTCTAGGCCAAGCGCACGACCCAGACCCATAGATAAATTATATTATTATTATTATAAAATAATAAACGCAGAGAGCAAATTGCAACGACGAATGAATACTTAGGAGATATGACAATGGTAATAAGTATAATTAATTATTATTGCTAATAGAGCGCCACGACTGACAGGAAATGATAATAACTATTACTGACGATGGTAATGATGATGCTGAACATGATAATGAATTATTGTGAAT